AAAACACAAAAAAAAAAAAAAAAAAAAAAAAAAAAAAAAAAAAAAAAAAGAGTATGGCTGGCAAAATGCAATGGAGAGGACTTTGAAGGCCAGGCTGATGAATCTGAATTTGATTTAATTGGACCCACTATAGTTTCTTGAATGAAGTGGTTGCAGATGATGACAGAGAGTCATTCCTTAGATACATACAGACGACAGTGGAAGTTAGAAGGCTGTTGCAAGAGTGAGGTGATATGTCTGGATCAGGCTACAATAATCCTAAACTTGAGCATGTATAAGAATCCATGGGGTATGGTAGGGGGTAGACACATTAAAAATATATTTTCTTGGCCTACCTGAAGAGATTCTGACTCAGTAGACCTGGTGTCGGGCCTGGGGCTTGGCTGTTTTCAATGAATGAGATTCAAGTGATTATGATGTAGGTGGTCTTCACATCACATTTTTAGAAATACTGGATAGATTACAGAATTGCAAAGAAAGGGCAGGTCTTAGAAATACTATGAACAAAGGTGTATGTACAGAAATGCCATGAAGGATGCTGTTTAAGGAAAGTGGTATTTGAGCTATATCAGGAACTTGCTGGTAGTCATGAGAAAAGAAAAAGAAAGACCCTCAAATGACAAGATCCTAGAGACTAGCTGGGTAGAAGGACTGAGTAAAGGGGCACCTGGGAAGAGGACAGAGATGATACATGATAGATATCAGTGCCACATGCTCAAGTGTGTGAAAGCAGACATGGAGAGATGTCCTTGAGACAATGGAGAGAAAGGGTGCTGTGGTCAGTGCTTGGAAATGTTGATCACATTTATATTCTAGGAAGCAGGCATTGTATTCAATGAAGGCATAAAAAAGCTTAGAGGGATTAGGATGGAGGGAAAGATGGTTGAGAATGAAGAATGGAAGGGATTAAAGAAATACTATGGTAGCTATTTTACAGGTCAAATGAAAGAATACGAGAGCCACAGCTGGTTCAAAGCCTGGTGAGTAGGAACACTTGGCTGGTGGGATTCAAAGGGAAATGAACCAGTGTGGGTGAGTTTATTAGGGATCCTCTAAATTTGCTTTTTTCCAGTCCCATTTGCTCTACACTTTCAAGTGGAACTTGGAGACCTGATCCATGAGATTGTTACTGTTCAAACTATAGTGTGTTGATTAATCACCTGGGGATTTTGTTAAAAATGCAATTCTAAATCAGTCATTCGGGGGTGGAGCCTAAGATTCTGCATTTCTGACATACTCCCAGGTGTTTTCATTGCTGCTAGTCCTCAGATTATACTCTGAGAAACAAGATACTAAAATCTCACTCTGCGGGTGAGTCTTCTGTAAACAGAGGCAAAGGGCAGCAGGTGGACAAATCAGAGTGATACAACAAAGTGATTGGCATTTATACAAATAAAATCAAACTCCAAAATAGCTTAGATCAATGGTTCTCAATTTCGTGCCTGAGGGGACATTTGGCAATGTCTGCAGAAATTTTTGGTTATCACAAATTTGGGCAATGCTACTGGCAGCTAGTAGATACAGGCCAGGATGCTGTTAATTTCTACAACGTATCAGGGCAGTCCCACAAAAAAGAATTATCTAGCCCAAGATGGCAATAGAGCCAAAGTGGAGAAATCCTGGTTTAGTAAAAGGACACCTTTAAATATAGTTGAAAGATCACAGACCTTGTAGTCTAGATTCAAATAAAAGCTCTGATATTTACCAGTTATGTGGCCTTGAGAAAAAAACCCATTTGATTTTTGCCATTTTTTTTTAAACAAAAAGGGTTACCAGGTTGTAGTATGTCATGACTCAGTAGGCACTCTGGAAATAATCAGTCTCTCCTTCACTTGTACCTTAGAGGTTTTGGGCCAAGAAAGAATAAATATCAACCCACATAGAAGGTGGTAGAAGGACTAAGTAGATTGGCCAAGGACAGGATGTTCAAGGCAAAGAACAAAAAGATCTACAAATTAGTACTAACCACCAAGTTGCCAATGACCATGACCATCATAAAGACAATGAGGCACATGGCCTGGCCTGCCACCTCCATGCAGTCCCACATGGTCTCAATCCACTCCCCGCACAATACTCGAAAGACAATGAGGAAGGAATGGAAAAAGTCATGCATATGCCAGCGAGGAAGTTCACACTCCTGGTTGATCTTGCAGACACACTCTTTGTAGCTTTTCCCAAAGAGCTGCATTCCCACCACGGCAAAGATGAAGACAATAATGGCCAGCACCAGGGTCAGGTTACCCAGGGCACCCACTGAATTTCCAATAATCTTGATCAGCATGTTCAGGGTGGGCCAGGATTTGGCCAATTTGAAGACTCGGAGCTAAATGGAAAAACAAACAAAAACTAAATGATACTCAATCCATTTTCTTGCCACATGACTAAAATAAAACCATATAAAATTAGTAAGATCAGCTTAAATATATTTAGTTCCCCTGGAAAAATTCCAGAACTTTCTAACAGTGTCTCAGATTAAAAGGGGAAAAACTGAGGCATAGATAACTGAAAACTGATTAATTTCACAGTAAGTGAAAAAATTTAGAGCTAGGACCCAAGAATGCTGCCTCTCTTGTATTAGACCCTGAGTCAATTTGCTTCCTGAAAACTCACTCATAATCATACTGTATTCCTTTCCTATTGATTTTTCTCTTGAATTCTTAAGGGACATATCAAGGAAAAATGTGATTTATATGCAACTAGAAGTTCAGTACGATAAGGACAGCCAAAAAGTCCTTAAATGTGTTTAAAAATTCTAAATATCACCCTTTTGTTTGCCAATAAATACAGTAATTGTGGCTGATGGGAAACTTTGTGGTATGTTTAGAACAACTTGGAGGAAAAGTATAACAGGGAAAGTTCCATATGTATTAAACATCTCAAGAAAATGTCCTATTCTGTTATTAATTCATTTTGTTACCTGTCAATCATAAAATTTCAACATTCTGTAATGAATGATTGCAAGGTCTTGGCAAACAGTCTGCAGATTATAATGAATAAACCTACAGTTTCTTGGCCAATGGAATGATAATAATATCACTGTCAGATATTATAAATCAACAAATAACTGACATATAACACAAGAGGAATTTTGCTATGAGGCAACTGATTTGAACATTTGTTTACAGTTGAAAACTTGAGTCTTTTATCTGAGAGTTCAATATTTACCATATATAGCATTGTAGATGTATTTGTTTTTCTTTGCATAGCTTCAAATTTATTCACAATACTAGTTTTAAGGTTTTCATTTCTCAATCCGAACTGGGAATTTAATTTGGGTCCTTGTACTTGCAAGACAGGTGCTGGAACCACTGAGCTAAATCCCTGGCCCTCCTTTTTTTTTTTTTTTTTTTTTTTTTTTTTTAAATAATCAAGATAGTAAGAGCTCAGTTGTGGCCAGATACTAACTAAATAGTTGTAAGCACAGGTTTCAGAAACATGGCACACGTTATTTGTGAGTGGAACTGAGTAACATCTGTTTTACAAATAGCTCTACTCTGTTCCGATTCTCTTTCTTTGATCTGCTGAATACACGGATGACATACCTCAGGTCTTTTCAGTTGCAAGTGTTTAGGTATTTTCCTGACTAGGAGAGAAAGGCCTAAGCCAGATGGATGACAGGGAGGCAGTAGTGGGCTCTGAGTGAGACACCCCCATAGTAATTCAGTTTCTCCAGGGACTTACTCTGGACATCACTTCTGCTGGTACTTATGGGCAGTTCTTTTGGGAATTTCATTAACTATTCTTCCAAAGTCATTAAGTAATTTAAATATTAGCTTCTTCAAACACCTTAGTAAAAAATTCTTAGCTAATGATGTGGAAAATAAAGTCATTGTTCAACAACTAACTTCAATATAACTAAAAAACTATTATTTTACTCTCAATTTCTGGAAAGAGTTGATGCATGAGAAGAAATGAGGAAAGCCATTTTTGAACACAGATATTCTTACCACTTCAGGAGGATGTTCAGATAAAGAAAGAATCCACTAGCAAACCAAATTAGACCTTAGAAAGGTCTTGGGAACATTTTACTTTTTAGGTTAAGCATTATATTCTAGGAAACTTGCTAAAATTGATTTCTTTTTTATTAATTTTTTTGGTACCGGGGATCAAACTCAGGACCTTGCTCTTGTGAGGCAGATGGTGGGACCACTGAGCTAAATCCCCAGCCCTTGATTATTAATTTTAAAAACTAATTTTTATGTTATTCATTTGGCAGGAAGGTTTTCATGACTTTAGGTCCTTAGACAACTAAAAGGCCAAATGGAACTGGGAGTAGAATACCTAAGGTCTTCTCTACATTACCAGGTTAAACAAAAGTTTCTAGTTAGTTGCATGACAGGAAATGTTAAAAGAAACTGGAAAAGTATGGAATACCAATCGGAAAGATCGCAGCACTGAAAGCCCCTCCACATCTGCTAGACTCAGTTCCATTAAACTGAGGGAGACAATAAATCCGTCAAAAATATTCCAACCTTCTTGGAAATAATAGTAAGGATCCATGGCTATTAGCTTCAGGAACATTTCTGCTGTGAAAATTCCAGTGAAAACCTGGAAGGGGAAGCAGGAGGTTAGAAAAAGAAGTAACAGAAAGAAAACATCTTTATCATTACCTTTGAATGCAACATGTCCAAGAGGGATCAAAAGCCAAAGTTGGCCTCTATATCTGAGGGTATCAATATCTAGATGTCCCCACGTGATGCAGAAAAATCTTATTCCCCCAACGCCCCCTTTTTTTGCACAATACTAGCAACTGAATACAGGGACTTTTCACAGAGCTACATCTTTACTCCTTTTCTTATCTTTAAATTTTGAGACTGGGTGTTACTAAATTGTCCAGGCTGGGCTCCAACTTGCAATCCTTCTACCTCGGCCTCCCAGAGTGCTGGGCTTACAGGTACATGTAACTTTATAGGTACATGTACACCATGGCTGGCTATTTGAATGATGTCCTCAGCCCCAATATTCCCATCTTTGTTTCCAGAACTATTCAATACAAACAGGCCAGAGTGCAGTTAAATAAATAACCTAATGAAATTAAAGCCACCTTACTTTTATAGTCAGTAGCTATTTTTTGGGGGGGTAACGGGGATTGAACTCCGGTCCTTGCGCTTGTAAGGCAGGCCACCGAACTGCTGAGCTAAATCCCCAGCCCCAAGTCAGTAGCTATTTATTTGAATGTGTATGCTTTGGATGTTTCATTTTAAAAACTACTCATAAAAGTACAGAGCAGCGATTATCAGAGGCTGGGGAGCACAGGGAGAATGGGAATGGAGAAAGGCTGGTCACTGGGTGTATCTATTAATACTACATTTGAAATTAAAACTGAGAAAAATTTTAAGTATTTATCTTAAAGTCATAATATGTCTACTACATGTTTGTATTAATAACATTTTATGAGGATAAAAAATCCTATATTTTTCTAAGAAAAAAGGAGAAGAATGGCATGTTTGACATTTTTGTAAATCTCTTCCATGTGTTTTGGCTTAATAAAACATACGGAGGTTCTCTTATTGGCTTCTGCTTTCAGTCCACTGTGACATGTTGCTTGGGTTCAAGTACTGGGAGAAAACTTGGCTTCACACAGAAATGTAGTTGGAATAGGGAGGACTTTGTGTATTCTGAAAGGGCCTTAGGGACCCCAAGGATACACTCCCACACTTTGAGAGCTATGGTGTTAAGCACAAGTTCTTAGATGAATACTTGATGACATTCAGACACTTATATACAGTTGCTGATCTACTGCCTACACATCTTCTATTTTCTCTACCAGGAGCATATCACAATGCAAATAAGAACAGCATCATAGGGATTACCTTAAATCTATTCTTCTCAATTTTTTACAAAGTGATTCTTTAGCCTCCTTTTTCCCTCCTAGTATTGGATTGAACTAAGTGTGTTCATACTGAGCTACATCCCTAGCTCCTTTTTTATTTTTGAGACAAGGTCTTGCTAAATCACTAAGCTGTCCAGCCTGGGCTTGAACCTGCAATCCTCCTGCCTCAGCCTCCCAGAGTGAAGGGATTATTTATTTATTTATTTATTTATTTATTTATTTATTTATTTATTTATTTATTTATTTTCTTCAGCATTTTAAAAGAATATATAGAGGTCTTGAGACAACCAACCAACCAACCAACCAACCAACCAATCAAACCAACTCCAGGGCCAGGGATTTAGCTCAGTAGTTCTGCTGCCTGCCTTGCAAGCAGCTTGCAAGGACCCGAGTTCGATCCCCGGTACCAAAAAAAACAAAAAACAAAAAACCCAACTCCAAACCAAAATGCCAACCAACCAAAAAACAAACAAACAACTGGGAACCACTGTTTCAGTAGAATATTCTGAATTCAATCAGCATATACTTCTGGTTTGGCAAGTCTCTGGGTACCAGTCTGAGAACTTACAATACCAAGTCCCTAAGCAAAGATACAAAGTCCTAGAAATAGGGTTCCACTTGGGAACTCTGGGGCATGAGAAGTACAAGGCAGAAGCAGCATACTTTCTAGGGGGCCTAATTGCCTTCGCAGGGAAAATGTAGACTCACTGGGGAGTGACTGGAGTCTCTGTTCTTAGAAAGAGGCTGTGTAGTTTAGATCAAGAATGTCCCCCAAAGGCCTCATGCACTTCTAGGCAGGGCTTTGGGGAGTTGATGGAATTATGGGGTGCTAGGGTGGACTTGCTATTAGGTGGAAGGGTCTGGCTGGAAGATAGTGGTCACTCAGGGCATGACCTGGAAGGGTTTACCCCCCCTCCCTGGCCTCTCCCTTCTCACTCTGCTTCCTGACCACCAGAAGGTGAGCAGCTTGTCCTCTGCTTTGCTTCTTTGCTTTGCCTTTCTACCTTGGAGCCAGCCAACTATGGACTGCAACCATGAGCCAAAATAAACTTCCTTCAAGTATTGTGACTCAGAGACAAAGAAAGTGATGAAAATAAGGACTAATCAGCTGCTCCTCCGCAGCAGACTCTACTGCAAAGACAATGGAATTCAGTTTGATAAAACTGTGCCTGTGCCACAGTGAAGACATGGAAAGACAATATGAAACCATGAAAAACAACAGCTCCTTAGGAGCTCAGTCATCAGGAGGCTGGCCGAGAGGCACATCTGGATTGCATGAGACTTTTCTGGATTTCATATGGAGAGATGTGTGTTCAATTAGGGTGGTCAACCTTACCAGTTTTCCCAGGACAGTCCCAGTTTTAAAACTGCAAGTTTCCCATCACAGGCATGCCTCAGACCTGTGCAACTTGAAATGGTTGGTTACCCAAGTGAGAGGAAGACCTAAAAGAGGATTTAAAAACCTAAAAGAGGATGTCCATGGTAAGTACTTAAAGAGAGGGAAGGATAAGGGGCTATAGGAATACAGATGAAAGAAAATTTAAAATCTGAATAGAATTCCTTTTTGGCTGAAAATCTAACTGGGCTATAGTTAAAGAATGAGTATTAAGGGCTGGGGATTTAGTCTAGTGGTTCCACTGCCTGCCTCGCAAGTACAAGGTCCTAAGTTTAATCCCCGATACCAAAAAAAAAAAAGAATGAGTATTAGGTCATGTGTGTTTGGTGAGAAAGAAAAAAAAATTTTTTTTCACTTTTGCTTAGAATCTCAGGAATTAAATTTACATGTCAGATTAAACCTTCTTTTCACCTCACCCCCATTTGGTCTTTGGCCCATAGGTGGGCATCTATGTGGAGAGAGGGCATCCATGTGCTAGGTACTGGAGCCCAGCAGGGCAGCAGGGCATTTGTATAGGGGTGAGCCCAGCAAATGGTGGTCAGTCCTTGGTGGGGACAAGGAGATGTCCATGCAGGGAACAGTGGCATGGGCTGTCAGAGCTAGGGGAGAGGTATCCACTGTGGGGATAGCCCAGTAAGGACTATCAGGTGGGAAGAAAAGGGTACAGCTGCATCACACAGATACCGAGGCCCACCTGGAACAGGAACATGTCCACTCCCTGTGGGAATGAAGTGATGAAAAGATATCAAAAGGACAATGAAGCCAGCTTGATGGGCTTCCCAATGGCCAAATCATGTATAATTTATTATTATTATTATTATTTTTTGGTACCAAGGATCAAACTTGGGACCTTGCACTTGCGAGGCAGGCGGTGGAACCACTAAGCTAAATCCCTGCTCATCGTGTATAATTTAAATATCAAAGTAAATGACAGTAAAAGATTATAACTCATTGGATGAAAATGGAAACTGTGAATCCATAAGATATAGATGATTGTGTGTGTGTGTGTGTGTGCGTGTGCGGGTGCATGCATGTGTACGTGTGGTGCTGGGTATCAAACCCAATACTTGCTGGGCATGTGCTCTACAACTGAGGTACATCTCTAACCCTATCTATATTGACATCAAGGAATAAGTCAAAAGTTCAATGAACAGGAAATTTAGATAGCTTTAAAGTGCCCTCCTCACAAATATTTGTAAACAGAAAAAGAACAACTTTAAAAGAAGCCTGGCAGACAGTGAAGAGATCAAATAAGTATTACCAGTAACAGGACAAATGGAAACTGCGTGCCTGTGAGATTCAATGAAGAGAGGACAGAGTCATGTGTGGGCTCTTTTTACAAAATGCATATCCATGTCTAATCACGAGGAAGCAACAGACAAATTCAAACAACTGAGGGAGTTCTACAAAATAACTGATATGTAATCTTCAAAGTCATGAAAACCGAGCAAAAACAAAAAAACTCTTCTGTGCTGAGGCAGATTAAAGAGATCTGACAATGAACTGCAATGGGTAATTCCAGAGTTGCAGCCTTTTGTTAAAAAAGGCATCACTGGGATCACTGGAAAAACTTGAATAGGGCCTAAGAACTAAATGGCTGTAATGTATCAAGGTTAATTTCTTGATCTTGACAGTCACATTGTGGTTATGTAAGAGAATGTACTCATTTATTTAAAAAAATCACATACTAGTTGGGTTTGGTGATGTACACCTATAATCTCAGCATTTGGGAGGCTGAGGCAGGAGGACTGCACAAGTTTGAGGTCAGCCTGAACTACACAGTGAGAGGCTGTCTTGTCCCCAAGACCCCAAAATATATCATCTTAAAGTATTTGTGGGGTGGTAAGGCTATGCTGGTTTTTACTTTTAAAAAAGTTTTTTTAGATTTTGTACTTGAAACATTAAGATTCAGATTATTCAAAAATCACCTCATAGGAATGGGGATTTAGCTCAGTAGCAAGGTCCTGAGTTCGATCCCCAGTACAAAAAAAGAAAAAAAAACACATTATAAATTTACTGTTATGTTCAAATGGTGGTTAAAAAAAGGGCGATAAAAATAGTTACTGTACAGTTATAAAGACTGTATATGTCTCCTAGCTGCCCCAGGCTTCACTTTCCTTCATAAAACATGGGAGTTGGATTAAATTGCCTCTGAAACTCCTCCTATTAGTAGCATTTTCTTTTAGAGAGGGTGGAAGAGGCAGAGACCAATTTATAGAACTCTGTCTTCTTCCCTCAAAAACATCTATCTGCTTGTCTATGGTTAAGCAAAACTTAACTCACTGTGTGGATGGTAGGAAAAGACTTACTTTCTGACCCTTCTGTTTCAACAAAGCTGTTAAATCTCACTTTTTCCCATCCTCTTATTCTCAAGTTCAGTCAAATGGATTATCCAATTCTCTAAACCTTTGAAACTTCTACTGAATTATGCTGACAAGTTTTTAAGATTTACAGGGTATTTTTACCCATTCTAAGAAATTCTGTATAGGTACTATCCTCATTCTACAGTTATGGAAATTTCTCCACTGAAATCAAGGGCTTACTTACAGTTAAGCTATCTCTGACTGGAACCAAAAATCTGAATCTTCTGACTTCTAATGTTGTGTTTTATTTTCCTACTAATCTCGGTACATATGTTACACCAAAATATATCTGCTCTCATCCAGAAAACACTCAGGTGTGAGATTCTCTGAGGTCTAGCACATATCCAACTGCCTTAACTGCTATCTCCCTTAGTGGGTGGACATCTTATACCCATTATGTCTAAAACAGAAAACCAGATTTTTTTTAAAGCCTCAAACTTTATTTGGTTCAAAATTTTTTAAATATTTAGAACAATCAAATAACAAAATGACTGCATCACCGGATTGTTTGTAAGAAGTATGAGAGGAAAATAATTGGAAAAAAACCCCAGAAACTCAGTCTGACACACAAAAAATTTAAAACTCTACTTGTACATATACCTAAGTATAGAAGTGTAGCCATTATATTCTTCATGAGAATCCAGAGCCAACTCTATATCTATGAAATAAATTCTCAGTCACTATACTGTCTAGGGCTCTGCTAAGGCAGTACAATGGTATGATATTATACAATATAATTTTGCTTTACCTAACTAATTTTAGAAAAATTAAATATTTTTTTTCCTTTTTGCATCTTGTAGAAGTGTCTCAGGTCTCTATTCTGGTTTGTCTTTGTAGACCCCAAATTTTGGTAATGGTGTAGGAAACTATTCTGCCGAAAAGTGTTACGTTTGAAGGTGGGCGGACATGTTGGCAATGGTCATTATTCTTCTGAGTAGTTAGAAAATATTTCCTTTTCTTCATTTTTATGTTTCAGCTCTAGTTTGATAGGAGAAATAGTTACTCATTACAGGCTGAGCCTACTAAGCAAAATGATTACGATCCCACTCTCTTCTATTGGCTGATTCTTTGTTTAGAACTACTGGTTTTCTTCAAAGCAAGTTAATTTTTCACAAGCACAGATTTCAAACTCCAAAGCATTCCTTCCTTAGATACCCCGTTTCTCCCTAAGTCTAGGCACCATTTCTTTCTTCTTTCCCTTCACTGTCAGATTTACTTCCTCGTCTTCTGAGTGCTCACTGCTCTCCATTTCCATCACAACTGTAACCACCATCCTCTGGCAGGTTCGTGCCACCCAGGGCTTTCTCATTTTAGCACTTGGTTGTGGGTTGCCTGGCCTCAGGGAGTCACTGAATATTTGCTGTCCACTTCACTTTCTTTACTGATGGTTCTCAATAAAGTCTTTCAAATGCTTACAACTGCAGGTGTTATCCTAGATTGCTACAGACTTGGAAGGAATTAAAAAAAACTTTTTTTTTTTGCTAGCCTGGCCTGTGGGCAATTTGGCTGGTGGTAGGTAAAAAGGCGCCTCAAAATTCACTGGAGGGCTGGGGATTTGGCTCAGTGGTTCCGCTGCCTGTCTTGTAAGCACAAGGTCCTGAGTTTGATCCCTTGTACAAAAAAAAAAAAAAAAATCATTGTAAATCAACTGGGTATGGTGGTACACACTTGTAGCCCCAGCACTCTGGGAGGATGAGGCAGGAATATCCCAAGTTTGAGCCCAATTTGGGATACTTAGTGAGACTCTGACTTAAAAAAAAAAAAAAATCCTTGGAATTCAAGGACTGATTCTGTAAACAGCAAAGAAAATGAAAAATTTAGAGAAAAACAAAACTCTGTAAGAAGAACACCACCATTGCCACCGCCAATAAATTATTATTATTATTATTTATTTTAAGAGTAGGAAAAAATTATTGAGGGAAAGAAAGCTTTTGTCTAAAAGAGAAAGGGGAGTGGAAAGTGGATTGTCTGCTCACCCCACTTTTCAAAGATGTTTTACACAGCAAAGCCATGTGGTGAGGTGGGTACAAAGTGGTACAAAACTGTAAGACCCAATGGAAAATTACAAGGTGGGACAAAACCATGACCAACCAATAAGATTCCAAGTACAGTCACCCAGGTAATAGTTAAATGGGGGTCAAATGGGGGAGCAAGTCACGTAGCAAGGTACAAGGATTTTCAGTAAGGGTGGAGGTCAGGGATATTTCCTGGAAAGGCTGGGCTAAGACCTTGGCCCCCCACCCAGGTGATTGATATCTATTTAGAACATCAATCACTGCTATTTGTCTCCAGGGGAAGCACAAGGGTATAACAGTTTCTCTCCTTTTACAATTCTGGCCACAGTGAATATGTTTTTATTGTCCTCCATGTTGGCTCCTTGAGGGCTGGCTCCCTGAGGGAGGCCCTATCTAACTACCTATAAGACATCTAATTAACTTATTTATCTGCAATATTCCACCCTCTGAAGAAGTACCCCTGACTGCTGTGAGGGGGCTGAAGAGGGTTGTAGTTGTGATCAGCAGTTAGAGTTACTCTACAGAGGGTCTTTCTGAAGGCCTTCGATATGAATGCCAGGCATTGTTATCTTGGTAGCTGCATAGCTTTTAAGTCTGGAGAGGGAAAAAACCAAAGAAACAGTTAAGAATGCATGGGATAAATTATAAGGTCAGCAGGATTGCTAGGAATATAGCCCACAAAGAGGATAAGGATATGGTCAGGTCAGAATCCAACATAGAAGTAGACAGTTTAGTAGTTATGAGCTGTTTACAAGGTCGATCTGGTGGACCCAATAAAAGAAGTCTAGCACATTTGTCATTGATTCCATTTGTATGGCCAATAAATTACTATCAAATCAAATTCTCTTGGCTATCTCTGATATTTCTGACTACTTTAAAATTCTGCTTGATGGTTTTGGCCCTGTGCTAGTCAGTACAGAGTATGTCTGCCACAGGCAGCTTTCAGGCCAGTCAGCAGGTTTCACAGAGGGTTCTGTTTACAGGTATTTCACTGGGCTGCACTCAAGGGTTTACACCACAGCTCTGAGCCTGGGGCAGGCACTAACCCGGGGCAGACACAGAGACTGGCAAGAGCACCAAATCACCTGGGATGTGTAGTGGGCAACATGACAGGCTACAAGGTCTCACCAGGTAAAGGATCTTTCTGTAGTGTGTTTTCAGAATGAGAACAAAAAATGACATTATAATGTATTAGGACAATGCTCACAATGTATTAGGACTTGAGTTGTGAACTGTGCATATGTGAGACAGGGGTTGGGGAGAGAGTGGGGGAGGGCGAGGGAGGAAGAGGAGGGGGGAGGGGGAGGG